TTGTCTGAAATGGTGTAGGGTTCCTGCCTGGGCAGGGGGTTGGACTCGATGACCTCCAAGGTCCCTTCCAACTTTATTATTATTATTATTATTATTATTATTATTATTATTATTATTATTATTATTATTATTATTATTATTATTATTATTATTATTATTATTATTATTATTATTATTATTATTATTATTATTATTATTCTAACAGTCAGGAAATTTCTCCTTAGTTCTAGGTCGCTTCTCTCCTTGATTAGTTTCCATCCGTTTCTTCTTGGGTGCTTTTGGAGAATAAGCAGACCTCTTCTTCGCTGTGACAGCCCCTCAAATAGCAGAAGACACCTATCCTGTCCCCAATGGTAACCGTCTCCCGGTACTTTTGTCTTTAAGTGTAAATGGCAACTCAATCATCCAGGCCAAAAAATAACTAAAAAGGATAAAATTGTGGCAACTGGATCGAAATGGATGAAAATCAAGACATTTCGTTACTCACTCAAATAACTTCTTCAGCCAAAACGATACGCCAAAGCTGCTTTTTCATGAGGACTGGAGGCTAAAACATACAAGGAACGGTTGCTGGAATTGGATATGTTTAGTTTGATGAAGAGAAGGATGAGGGGGGGGGACAGGATAACAGTGTTCCAGTATCTCAGGAGCTGCCCCAAAGAAGAGGGAGTCAAGCTATTCTCCAAAGTGCCAGTGGGCAGCACAAGAAACAACGGATGGAAACTAACCAAAGAGAGAAGCAACCTAGAACTAAGGAGAAACTTCCTGACAGTGAGAACAATTAACCAGTGGAACCACCTGCCTCCAGAAGCGGTGAATGCTCCAACACTGGAAGTTTTTAAGAAGAGACTGGACGGCCATTTATCCGAAATGGTATAGGGTTTCCTGTCTGAGCAGGGGGTTGGACTAGATGACCTCCAAGGTCCCTTCCAACTTATTATTATTATGAATCATCGCACAGTCAGCCAGATGTTCAGACTGGATTTAGCATTTTTGTCTACCTATCGAGTCCTTCCCAAGGACCTGGGATAGGCAGATGTGGATGTTTGATGGCATCACAGATATCGTCGCAGGATGGAGGCGGTTCCTAGTAAGGCCGCCTTTTGCAATTGACTAATGGAGAATTTGTCAATGCCGATGATGGTGTTCAAGTGGTGCTCCAGTTGTTTTGGGATTGCACCCAAGGCACCTATGACTATTGGTACTACCCTTGCTTGTCTTTGCCACAGTCTTTCTATTTCTATTTGTAGGTCTTTGTATTTTGTTATCTTCTCCAATTCTTTCTCGTCTATTCTGCTGTCTCCAGGCACTGTCACATCCACCCTCCAGACTTTTTTGCCTTTCTTATCGACAATTGTTAAGTCTGGGGTGTTGTGTTGCAGGTGCTTGTCTGTTTGAATTCTGAAGTCCCAGAGCAGTTTAACTTTATCATTTTCTATGACTTTCTCCATGTTACGATCCCACCAGTTCTTGCTTGCAGGCAAATGATATTTCTTGCAGATCTTCCAATGCACCATTGTTGCTACTTTGTCGTGCCGCTGCTTGTGGTCAGTCTGTGTGATCTTCTTGCAGCAGCTTACCAGGTGGTCCCCTGTTTCTTCAGCTTCTTTGCATAGGCGGCACTTACTGTCTGTTGCTGTCTTCTCAATTTTGACTTTGTATGCATTTGTCCTTAAGGCTGGGTCTTGTGCAGCCGGAATTAGTCCCTCGGTCTCTTTCTTCAATTTTCCTGCTCTTAGCAGGTCCCCTGTTTCTTCAGCTTCTTTGCATAGGCGGCACTTACTGTCTGTTGCTGTTGCTGTTGTTGTTGTTGTTGTTGTTGTTGTTGTTGTTGTTGTTGTTATTATTATTATTATTATTATTATTATTATTAACAGAGAATCTCCACCGACAGTTGAAAGGATAATTTTGGGAATTAGGCAGAGAGTTGCAATTCTGTTCATTTACACCAGTGTTTCTCAACCTTGACAATTTTAAGGCATGTGGACTTCAACTCCCAGAATTCCACAGCCAGCAATGCTGGCTGTGGAATTCTGGGAGTTGAAGTCCACATGCCTTAAAATTGTCAAGGTTGAGAAACACTGATTTACACGTTGCATTTCATTTTGGGGGAGGTCCTAACTCTTGCTCTACCGACTGCAGGCTGTTTTCTCCTCGACATGAAATGCAAATGTGTAAATGAACGGAAACGCAATCAAGGTGCATTTGTTGGTTAATGCCCTTCCCCGAACCGAAAAGCAGGAAGAGAATTTCTACACACCACGACGGCCTTGGTGATGGGGTCGATGTTGACTGCGGTGCAGGCCGCAAAGCAAGGGGAGATGTATTCCATGTGGTCCTGCCCACACACCGGGTTGAAAAAGGACAGCGAACAGTTACACTTCAGGTTGCAAGCGGTAATAAGCTGCCAAGGTCCAGAACTACAAAAGAATGGGGAGGGGGAGAAATATGATCACCTAGTCTGAACTTTTGAGCACCGGTGCAGAGCAACAGGTGGACTTTATTAGCGAATCTCATTATCTTAAAAAAAAACAAATAAACTTCATTTATTGATTGTCCCAAAGGTGCTTTTTTCAGGAGGCAACTGGACTTTCTGGTTTTTCCTTTGAAGACGTTTCGCTTCTCCTCCCAGAAGCTTCTTCGGCTCAGACTGGATGGTGGGGAATGGAAGGATTTATACTCCTTGCAGAAAAACTGGTCATTTGCCTTCTTTTAGAGAGTCGTTGAGGCCACCTGGAGGTTTATCTATGTCCTCAGGATCACCTGAGTGGTGCAAATGGGTGGTCTATGTATCTCCAGTCTACAACACGGTCCTTTCAACAGTTCCAAGAAGACTCCACACCCATTTGCACCACTCAGGTGACCCTGAGGACACAGACAAACCTCCAAGTGGCCTCAACAACCCCGTTAGAAGAATGCAAATGACCAATTTTTCTGCAAGGAGTACAAATCCTTCCATTCCCCTCCATCCAGTCAGAGCTGAAGAAGCTTCTGGGATGAGAAGCGAAACGTCTTCAAAGGAAAAACAAGAAAGTCCAGTTGCCTCCTGAAAAAGCACCTTTGGGTTTTTCCTTGAAGACGCTTCGCTTCTCATCCCAGAAGCTTCTTCAGCTCTGATTGGATGGTGGGGAGTGGAAGGATTTATACTCTTTGCAGACAGCTGGTCATTTGCCTCCTTTTAAAGAGTCATTGTTGAGGCCACTTGAAGGTTTATCTGTGTCCTCAGGGTCACCTGAGTGGTGCAAATGGGTGATCTATCTATCTCCGGTCTACAACACAGTCCTTTTCAGCAATTCCAAGAAGGCTCCACACCCACACTCTGAGTGGATGGTGGGGAGTGGAAGGATTTATACTCCTTGCAGACTGCCGGTCATTTGCATCCTTTTAGAGAGTCGTCGTTGAGGCCACTTGGAGGTTTATCTATGTTTATACAACACGGTCCTTTCAGCAGTTCCAAGAAGGCTCCACAGTCATTTGCACCACTCGGGTGACCCTGAGGACACAGACAAACCTCCAAGTGCCCTCAACGACCCTCTTAAAAGAAGGCAAATGACCAGTTTTTCTGCAAGGAGTATAAATCCTTCCATTTCCCCACCATCCAGTCAGAGCAGAAGAAGCTTCTGGGATGAGAAGCAAAACGTCTTCAAAGAAAAAACAAGGAAGTCCAGTTGCCTCCTGAGAAAAAGCACCTTTGGGACAACCCAGACCTGGAATGACGGAGAACCTCCACAGATATTCACCAATGGATCGTGTTGGCTGCAGCTGATTTAATCTGCAAATTGTTGCAAGAAAGCAGGACCATCATTCGGTCTGGAGAAGACACGTTGCTCAAGGTTGATTTTGAGGTTTGCTCAATCCCCCCCACCCACCCGCCAAGGATTCCCATCAGAGGAAGGATTTAAAGGTCGTCCTCGACTTACAGCGGTCCATTTAATGACCGTTCCAAGTTACAACAACACCGGAAAAAGTTTTTCCCCCACTTACGACCGTCGCAGCTTCCCCGCACGGTCACCTGCTCGAAATTCAGATGCTTGGCAATTGGTTCGTAGCTACGACGGTCACAGTGTCCCAGGGGATGGGGGCGGGGTGTCACGTGATCCTCTTTTACAACCTTCTGACTAGCAAAGTCAACGGGGGGAGCCTGGTTCACTTAAAGAACGTGTGACTCCCTTAACAACGGCAGGGATTCGCTCAACCAATGTGGCCAGGAAAAGTTGTAAAACGGGGCAAAACTCGCTTAGCAAATGTTTTGCTTAGCAGCAAAAATATCAGTCGTGGCCGTAAGCAGAGGACTACCTGTATTTTTTTTTTGTCTCCAGCGATTCTGGGCGTTTTTCTAAAGATTCTCTAAACTCATGAATTATCAATTCTGGTGTGCATTAAGGATTCGGGTGCAACATTTTGAAAATGTGTCTTTTGGCGTTCATCTGTGTCCCAGGTTCAAGGGACTACTAGCCGCTGATCTGAAATTTATTTATTGACTGAGTTGTAAAATGTATTAGTGTGATATTGCTTTGTTGATCTAAATCAGGGGTGGGGAACGATGGCCCCTTCATGACTTGTGGACTTCAACTCCCAGAATTCCTCAGCCAGCATGGGGGAACTATGGCCCCTTCATGATTCCTGTGTCATGTGTCTGATTAACGAAACACTTAAAAGGACTTTCAGGCATATTTTTCCTAAAAGCATTTATTAAGGTTACAGAGATGTCAGTACGGCATGGTGGAAATGCTAAGATCTGATCTTCTCTTCCGTTGCACATAACATTCCAGGCATTTTTCCCTCCCCTATTTTGGGGTCATGATTCACATCTTCCAATTCACTTGGAAGATGTAATTCACTTCCGGTTCCTTTTCCCCGGGCTTTCCTTATATTCTCCTCCCCTTTCACTGTTGCCTGATTTAACTATAAAAATACCAGACAGTTCTGCATATTCTCAAAGCAAGAATATACAGTATTTGCAGTGTTGACATCCTGGACTTCAACTCCCAGAATTCCTGAGCCATCAGGGGGGAACTATATGGGCCCTTTATAACTTCTGGACTTCAACTCCCAGAATTCCTGAGCTAGCATGGAATTCTGAGTATGGCAGGCTCAGGAATTCTGGGAGTTGAAGTGCACAAGTCATAAAGGGGCCATAGTTCCTCGCTGCTGGCTCAGGAATTCTGGGAGTTGACGTCCACAGGTCATAAAGGGGCCATTGTTGGCTCAGGAATTCTGGGAGTTGAAGTCAATGGGTAGTAAAGAGGCCATTGCTGACTCAGGAATTCTGGGAGTTGAAGTGCACAGGTCATAAAGAGGCCATTGTTGGCTCAGGAATTCTGGGAGTTGAAGTCAATGGGTAGTAAAGAGGCCATTGCTGACTCAGGAATTCTGGGAGTTGAAGTGCACAGGTCATAAAGAGGCCATTGTTGGCTCAGGAATTCTGGGAGTTGACGTCCACAGGTCATAAAGGGGCCATTGTTGGCTCAGGAATTCTGGGAGTTGAAGTGCACAGGTCATAAAGAGGCCATTGTTGGCTCAGGAATTCTGGGAGTTGAAGTCCACAAGTCATAAAGGGGCCATCGTTCTCCCACCCCACAGGTAATCCTCAACTTACATAGATTCGACTTACGGACCTCCAGCGGTTCACTTAACAATCACGGTAAAAGAAGGTCATAAAATTGGATAGGACTCATTTAACAACCACCTTGCTTAGCCACCAAAATCTTGGGCTCCACGGCGGTCATAATGTCGAGAACGACTTGCACCACCACGATCTGAGACCGCTCCTGAGTTTGCGTACCTTCCGGAGTAATCCAGCCCGGCGACCACCTGGGTGGGACACCCCAAGAAGAGAAGGGGGATGTCAAAGAGGACACAGAAGGTCATGCTGATGATGCACAAGACGGTGGCCTGTCGGAGGGAGAAATTGCAGCTCTTCATGATGGCTCCCCCAATGATGATTCCCAGCATGGCCCCAGGGATGTTGACGGCTCCTGTGGGATGGAGGAGGGAGAGAGCACAAAGCGAGGGTCACACTTGCGGTGGCTGGGCTCCCAGTTGGTACTAGGCTGGGAGGTGGGCTGTCGGTTATGGGGTTGTGGAGGTTCGAGCTGGCGGGCTCGGGTCATATATAGACCGGGCACATTACATCTTAAGCCTGTGAGGGTCCTTGGTGCTCTCTGAGTTGGGTGGGGGGTTTTTTGCAGACGTTTCATAACACAACTAGTAGTAGTTGAGAAGAGAGTGGGGTTTGTGGAGAGGAGGAGGAGGAGGAGGAGGAGGAGGAGGAGGAGGAGGAGGAGGAGG